AAGCCGCACTGCCGGTTTTGGATCAAATTTTAGGATTTTCAGTGCGGCTTATAGTCGTGAAAATACGGTAATTTGTCCCTTTAAAAAAAAATTTGATGATCAAACTGATTTATTTTTAAGTGAGCATTGAAGGAGACGCTTTAAGGAAGTCTTTAGTAAATAGGAAGAAAAGTTTGTTAATCAGTTTTTTTTTCTGTTTTGTAGAGAAGGTATAAGAAAAATGCAGCCATATACTAAATAAAATAATAATAAAACTACAGAACATGTAATTGGTATGCATTGGCAAGAAGCCTGTAAAAATTACACGTTTTTTTAATTTAGGAAAAAGTAAATAATGTTTACAGGCAAAGAATATTTATTTCAACCTCCCAAAAGAAGGTGATCAAAAAGCTCCTAACCTTTTGGTTTTCTATATTAGACATTAATCGGTAAATCAGTTCCATTAGTCTCTTCCTGCCCAGAGATTTTACATAAAAATTAAAGTTAAATACAATGTTTGAAAGCGGAGTTAGACATAGTCTTTTTGTAGTCCTTAGAACCAGTGAATTGCTCATAGCTCTTTTGATTTCTTCTAATTGTTTTAGAGATACGTTGGAGGTACATTTAGAGCTACATTAATTTTGAGAGCCACAGAAGCAATTCTGGTTTATATCTTTGTTTTTTAAACACACTGGTGTAATTAGACCTGGTTTTATAATGTTTTGTTAGTGTTCAGTTAGTAACTACAAGTAAAATAAATTGCAGCAGTGTAATATGTAAGAAGTATCTCATATATGATTGTTAATTTAAATTGATATTGATTTAAATTATGTGATGGAAGTAATTTAAATATGTGGTGGCAGATAATTTTAGTGTCTACTGTAATTCAGGCCCCCCTGATTTATATAATTGTCTAAAAGAGGTTCTATTCTTTTTTATAAATAGGGAAAAAGAACAAACACAAGAAGAGGAACATTTGATGGAAGAAAAGAAAAAGAAAAAGCAGGAAGAAAAGAAAAAGAAGGAAGGTGCTCAGAAAAAGGTTTGTTAAGATCTTATATAATTTAACACTTAGCCAATTTCATTAGTGTAAGTTGGGAAAAAATTCTTATGTTTAGAAATATAGTCTAATTAGGTTTCATCATTTGTAAAAAGTACCAAACATTATGCATAAATTTGTTCTTATTTTCACTGCTTCAAACTACAATATTCTACTACAAGCAGATTTCCTCCTGGCCTGATCAAATGTTTTTCTTAAAGCACAGTTTAAGTAGTCTATGAACAGTAGCTAAACATTACCATCTGAAGTAATTCCCAGGTGAATTATATATTTCAGAAACATAACAAAAGTCTTTGAGCCAAGGTGGCGCAGTGGTTAGAGTGCTGTACTGCAGCCACTTCAGCTGACTGTTATCTGCAGTTCGGCGGTTCAAATCTTACCGACTCAGGGTTGACTCAGCCTTCCATCCTTCCAAGGTAGGTAAGATGAGGACCCAGACTGTGGGGGCAATATGCTGACTCTGTAAACCGCTTAGAGAGGGCTGAAAGCCCTATGAAGCGGTATATAAGTCTAACTGCTATTGCTATTGCTAACACTTAGGGATCGTGGCACGACAAAACCGCGTTCGTCAAAATAGCGGTGATAAAACCGCGTCGCTAAAGCCGCGACGTCATCACCGCGACGTCATCACCGCCGCGACAACAGCGCGGCGACAGCAGCGCGGCGGCAGAACGGCGCTTTAAAACAGCGCGGCGGCAGAAAGCCAATTTAAATTAAGGTAAGGGTTAAGATTAGGTTTACGGGTTTGCTTTAGGGTTAGGGTTAGGTTAGGGTTAGGTTTAGGGTG